TATATATATGTGTATATAAAAATACACATATACATACATATATATATATGTATATGTATTTATATATTTATATATTTATATATTTATATATTTATATATTTATATATTTATATATTTATATATTTATATATTTATATATTTATATATTTATATATTTATATATTTATATATTTATATATATATATATATTGATATGTAAGAGTGGAATATGTTCATTGAGTCAATGCTTCCCAGTTAAATACAAGCATACTAATTCCCGAGCCATACACAACACTCATCATACCCTTTACTTCCCCATTGTGATTAACCTCTTTCGCACAACATTTGTTGTCTCTCCTGCAGCCGCTACCAACTCAACCAACAAGGCAGCTCTCTCGCGGGATATCAAAATCGAAAACTTTGATCTGTCGCACTATGGCAAAGCGATCTTAGCAAACGCGTCGGTTACATTGGCCTTTGGGCGGCGCTACGGACTTGTGGGGAGGAATGGGGTATGTTGTGCATAAGAAAGGAGACGTACGTAGACGTAACGTACAAGCTACCTTTCCTGTACGCGCGAATATGTGTGTGTGTTGAGCACAAGAAGGAGACAGACGTAGACGTAACGTACAAGCAAGCTTTCCAGTACGCGCGAATATATCTGTGTACCTTGATAGCTCGCACTAGGTGCTGTAGATACCAGCCAGTGAGTCTCGGCTGAGTTGTCCCTGTACATACAAGTAAGTTTTCCTGTAGGCGCGTGTATATTTGCGTCGTCTGAAGAGCTGTAGATACCAACCGGAGAGTCTGGCCCAGACGTGCGGTGTACAGTGAGTGTGGGTTGATGGGTTGTAAACGGTCGTCCCTTGTGTGTCCGATTGTCTTGCTGAACTCCATATGAATCAGCATGAGGCATGGTGGCATAGGTACTATACTGTATCGTATAATATATCACTCTATACCGATTGCAGGTGGGGAAGACGACACTGCTGAAGGCTATCGCGCACAGAGAACTGCCAATCCCACCACACATCAGAGTGGTCCATGTTGAGCAGGAGGTGAGTGTCTGTTGGTTGGAGATATATATATCCTTACATACACGCACACACGCACACACACATATACACACACAACACACACACACATATATATA